CTTGTCTGGAAAATAGATGTTTACTTGTAGTGAGTGTATTAAGATCTTTGCCATTAAGCATACATATCCTGCATGGTGTCTTCTCTTACAGAAAACTCTATAATGGAATAGACCTTTAATTAGAAATTCCTGTGGTAAGGAAAAATATTAAACACCAATACTGTTCTGTGTTGACATTTCTGCTTATTATAAGTTTCTGTGTGTGTGTGTGTGTGTGTGTGTGTGAGAGAGAGAGAGAGAGAGAGAGAGAAATAGAGAAAGAGAAAGAGAGCACCAAAACCAGGAACTGTTCTTTGGAAAGATGGCCTTTCAAAGAAAATGGTATGCTCCATTTAAAACTGTGAGTGCAATATTTGTTAAATAAAGATTAAATTACAGAAAAAATGTCCCTAAACTTGGCAAGAAAACACACTGGATTTCCCTGAACCATGCATCTTCCAAGGAGAGGTAGACTAAAAAAAATATTTGAGAGGCAGCAAGACAAAGAGGAAAAGTGAAAGCCAGGGCAAGAGTGAGAGGAGAGAGAGAACTCCCATCAGCGGGTTCATCTCCCAAAAGCCCGCGTTGGATGTGGCTGGGCAAGGTGAGGCTGGGAACTGGGAACTCAATCCAGGTCTCCCACGTGGGTAGCAGAAAGTCATCTGCTTGGGCCACCACCTGCTGCTTCCAGGGTCTGCGGTGGGAGGAAGCTGGAATTGGGATCATCGACTAGGAATTGAACCCACCCACTCCAATATAGGATATAGTTCAAATTGCTGTCTTGATTCCTAGGCCAAACACCGACCCCTGAAAGGTGGATTTTAGTATGATTAGGTCCATGGTTTTTGCAGCCAACTTTCTCATGTCTGTCACAGAATTCTTCATCTGCTGATAAGACTAGATGATTTGGTTGCATAATAAGAATGTGGACAACTCTTCTGAAACTGGGACTAAGTATCACAAGCATGGTATCTGCTTCTTGCTTTCAACACATTATACTTTTTCTGCCTCTCTTATATTAGAAAACAGATTTGTGCCCCCAAAATGCCATTATAAAATAGATGGTCACAATCCTCCAAAGTTCTGAACAATAGTACATTCTAGAGCCAAAAGAAGGGATCGTTTAAGACAAATTGAGATTAAGCAGGTGGACCTTGGAGCCACAGCGGCCCTTCTTCAGTATGTGCACATCCTTTTATGTTTCTTTGTATCTAACATGTAAATGGGGCAACAATACTTATTTCATAGGTTTGTGGTGAGGATTCCAGGAAAACAAATATGTGCAAAGCATCTAGTCCAGATTCTAGCAGATAGTTATCAACTAGGCATATTTGTTAGGATGAAATACTCAATTACGGACAGAGGGAGGGATCCCTCAGTTTCTCTAAGGCTTGAACGATGGCAGCTACAGAGGTAGCAGCTGATTCTCCTCCCTCCAGCCCTTAGTAGGGGCCCAGTTGTGCTTGGTGAATAAGTGAAGGAATGACGGCTGCCAGAGGAAACCCCTAAATTTTAACTTGCAGCTTTGCCAGTTTGACTAACTGCTGTGGTGTAAATGTGTCTCCTAAAACTTCATGTGTTGTCATCCCCACATTCATATGTGAATTGTGTTTGCTGATGGGATCTTTGGGAGGTAATTAGGGTTAGGGGAGGTCTTCAGGGTAGTGTCCCTCTGATGACATTAATGGCTTTCCAAGCAGAGGAAGAGAGACTCAAGCTAGCACACTTGGTCTGTTTCACCACGTGATGTCCGCCACGTTATGAGGCTGCAAGAGGGGCCTCGTGCACATGTGAGCGGACGCTGGCACCGTGCTCCTGGATTTCCAGCCTCCAGGCCTCCAATTAAATAAATTTCTTTTGTTTATAGATTACCCTGTCTCAGGTATTTTGCTACTGAGACACCAAGCAGTTCATTTTGCCAGCTCAATACTCCTTTCCATCATCTGTTTTTCTCAGTAGAACTCATCATTGCAATTAGAAGCAAGAAAAACTGTTATATACTCATCTGCAGCACCTTTATCCAAACCAACAAATAGTTACTGAGGGCAAGACAGGTGAGCTAAGTGATTTCAGAAAGAGAATTCTCGGCCCAGTTTCCAGAACACAGCTTTGCAAATGTATGACACAGTAAAAATCTACAACAGTGGTTTGCTTTAATTGCTTGTTTTTAATTTTATGTGATCTGATGGCACAAGCTGAATCTAACTTCTTGTCCTGATCTGCCACGTTGTACACTGTACCAAGTGCCTGTTTCATCCTTTATGCTCACCTGGAGCATTCAGATCTGTTGTCCCAGTAACAATGACTCCTTTCCCAGTTGGTACCTGAGATCTCAAAATCGCTTTGGAACCCTGTTCCGTGATCCCACTCAGGGGTTCCCTTCTCTACTCACTCAGTAATATAGTTGTTTGGAATGTCTGAATGGTACTGAGGCGAGACAGTCTGTATAAGGGCCACTGCAATATATTTTTCCTTTCAAAAATAGTGCATTTTACCTCCTCCCTAATAGTATTTCATTATTTGCTGGGAATCACAGAACTCTTTTAATAAGAAAGTTTAGAGACTATCTTGGGATTACAGTCTTTGAATGAACTTTCATGCCCATAGTATAAGCCCTTTGGTTTAATCCCATCCCACTTAAAAGCTTCTACTTATAGCTACCAGCTGCTGGTTCTTTTCCCTTCATACTCATTAAGTGCACACACAGATACACACGGAGATGTGGACATACTCCGTGCATGGGCACACATACATGCACACACACACACGCCCCCTCACATACACTGTCACCAGCAGGAACAATGCACTGTAAAACTCGTCCTGTTGAGTTTGTAATCTAGAGTGAGTTACTGAGTGCTGATAAGTAAAGGAACTGCCACCAGACAGTTTAATCCTCCAATTTCCTGTCTTCTAATCAGCCCCTGATTCTTTTGGTTTTAAATTAGAAACATTCCTAACAATATTCAGGACAGGTGAGGGAAAATCAACTAGAAAATAACTGAGGACAAAGCATTTATTTCACTGTCTAAAGTTCACAGGAGAAATATGAGCGTAACAACAGGAAATCAAGATTTTTAAAAAGATAGTGGAAGTACATAGACTAACTTAAGTAACCAATCACATTTCTGAGTGAAGTACATTTGGATCATAATTAGATTTAAAGAAAAAAAATAGGAACATAGTTTAATGTATTTGCTTCTCCCTAAGAATAGTGAATGGTACTTTGAAGAAGCTGTTTGTGGCTAATCTAAAAGGAAGTGATAAGGATAACATAATGCACGGAGAGAAAATACAAACAACCCTGCCTCATTCAGATTTTGCTTGCCATTGATCAATACTAATAATGTGAGGAAGTATGTATTTGAAGTGTAAAGAAACATTTGAAGTTGAGGCATATTCTTAAAAATTAATATACTTAAACATTATTATGGTGAATAAAAAAAGTGCATTTAAAAATAAGCTCAGGTACAGTCACGGAAGTACAAAAATCTTCAAAAATAGAATGTGTAATGACCATGGGCTCTTAAAATTATACTGGGTGCGGAGAATATAGGTTTTATTTACTGAATCTCTATATTTTGAGTCTTTTCATTTATAGCCATCGTAGCAATTTTCAAGTTATTTTAACAATTATTATGAAAGTGTTAGTATGAATTCCTAGACAAATTTTCATTAGGCAATGTCTTCAAGAAATATAGACAACAAACACTAACAAAAGTTGTTCAGTTGAGAACTAAAATTTAAAACATTGAGATGGTAAATACAACTTCAGATGTGAATTCAAGCAAATAACAACAAATGATTTCCATGAAATATGAGTTCTTAATTTTGTGTCTGCAGCGGTTAAGACTGTCAATCATTTGGGAGTAGCCTGGGGTTGAGGATTTTTCTTTTTGAACTGCTAAACACAGTAAGACAGCATTTCCTAGAAGTTCCTTGTAACTTTTCTCATGTATAACTAAAAAAATTGGCAATTATACTGCAGCACGTAACATATGCTTGCTCAAGTATTTTTCTAGCATACAAAGTTTTTGAAATGTAAAAATTTAGATTAAGTGACAGACGATTCTTGATTGAAAAATTGCATGGCAATTTCTAAAGAGAATGCTCCCCCAAATAATTGTGTAGGGACCCCGCATGGGATGAAGGAGGTTATAGGTTGATTTAGGAAACTTCACAGTCACCATGAGTTTTTAAATCAGATGGCCACAGCAAGACAAGTGTATTTTGTAATTCACAGGAAAGCTGTCTGATAACGCAGTATCACTAAATCATTATGGAGAGGAGAATGTTTACTCCGCCTTCATTTCCGTGCCAGGTGGGCAGTGTGCAGGTAATTCCACTGGACAGAAGCAGATACAGGCATCCAGGGTGCTCCCATTGCATTTGGATCGGAGAAAAATGTCACGCGGGTTTTCTTTAGTTTTCTATCAGAAGGTTTCAACCAGAGATGTCACAACAGAGCTAGGTTAAGTTGATACGTAATATCTATTTCTTGATTTGCATGATTAAAGCATTAGAGAAATGGCTCAGATATCAAAAGATTCCTTGTAAGTGGCAGTGCCAAAGGTAATTACTGTTAAAATTGTACACGCTGGAACGCTGGCCGCTTGTTACCTTCCCAGTTGTTTACAACTCCATGGGATTGAATGAAAGTTTCCATTTGACTTTCGAATATCTAGACCCCTTTCTTGCTTCACTTTGACATAAAAATGGATTTATCATTTCTTAAATCCTACATCCCTCAAGGCTTCAATGAAATGAAATGAAATAAAATAAAACAACGGACAGAGATGGCCCTTTTCAGTATAACTGATCCTTAAATAATAGTAGCCTTTTTAAGAGACAGCTAAAATTTTTGCTTGAAAAGAATGAAAAGATTTATGTAGTCAACTGACTTGTAGTTAGTTATCAAAAAGTGCAGTTAAACCCTACTGCAAGCTGGAGTGAGTTATAAGGGTGGGGGAGTGGGAAGGAGAGAGAAAGAAAGAGAAGAGGTTGTTATTCTCAGTCTTTTATTAACCAGTTTCTTTCATCCTACTGTGTCTTTCTTACTTAGAAACATAAAAATGATCTGGGGCTCTTGTCCATTCTCACCTAAAATTCCCGAGTAGGTAATGACTGACTACAACCTGGTTCGACATATGCCCCCAAACTAAAACAAACAAACTCATTTGCCATACAAATTGTTTACGATTCATTAAAAAGCAAAATTGCATATCCCCATGCTGGCAGCTGAGGCCGAGCCTCCCGGGCGGAGGGGGCATTCACTGAGTCGCCTTTGTATGCTCGGAGCGCCAAGCCGGAGGTTCCCACTCTGAGCCGGAGTCTGTGCAGCCAGATGACGCATGAGGTAATTTTAAAGCTTTATTTGCCTTTAGTGTGAAACTCGGATCTTGTACTGTCCTTTGGTTAAAGAACCATATCAGCCAGGGGAAGTTTAAGGGTAAGGTTAACACTTTTTTTCCAGTTGGGGAAAATTGTTGAGAGTAGAGACATAGGGTCTGGAGGGAGAGGGACTGAGTGCTATTCAAGGAAGGCGATCTAAGGGAAAATGGGAAATTTGTTTTATTTTAATTAGTCCTCTTTCCTTGTCATCAAAGTTCTCAATTTCCCATCAATAACAGGAAATTTACATTAGAATTATTTGTAACTGACAGATCTAAAATGCTATGGGATGTTGTCACCTTTAAGGGAAATTAAAAAATCGATGTATTCCCTATGGTAACTTCTACAACTTCTTCAAAGAGTGCTCTGATTTCTCACCCTTTTCAAAGCAAAGATCTAGAAGCAGTGAAGTTGGAAGAAACTGTAGTGTGCAGCTTAAACAGCAGCATGTGAGCATTGAGCATTGTTTATTTTTAGTCAACTGCATTGCCAAATGTTTCCACCACTTTATATGTTATATTCCCGGCGGTAAAACATCTGTAAAATAATTTTAAGTGAAAAGCAACTCCCAAGTAAACTTTATAAAAAAGAAATTACAGTTTCCAAGTAGAAAGAACAAAAAAAAAAAAAAAAAAAGAGAAGCATTTGGTGAACTTTGCAAGAAAAAAAAAGATGACACAATTTGCCATAAAAAGTAACAGTCTATAAAATCATGAACTTTTGAAATACAAGGAAATAGAATGTCTCACCCAGAACATGACATCAGCACTGTTTTTTTTTTTCTCTGAACGCTTACAACCTGACTTAGAAAATAATAGCCAAACCAATCAGTCTGCTCGTTACTAGTGTTTAACAAGCTGCATAAGGTGAAGCGATAGGCAACATCATAGCACACAAGTAAACCTTTTTTGCTGGCAGAAGCTCCAATGGGAAAATAAGTGCCCTGAATAAAAGTTCAGGGTCGAAGTGAATAGTCTCCTGCTTGTCTAATTAGCTAAAAAGCTGCATGTAACACTGTCCCAACATCACTAGTAAAGTTTCTAGTGTCTAGTTGAGAAATTGCAAGTTCAAACACACATGTACACACATACCCACAACCACTTTAACTCAAGAGTCCTTGGAATGGACACACTGCATCCAAGCAGCAGCCGAAGGGAATCCTGCAGGAGCTCACTTTTAACAGTCTTTCAGTCCTCCGCATTGCTAAAACTTGCCAAAATGATCCCACCATTGGTCCAGGAAGGGGAAAATGGAACGCTTTCTGCAGATCCCCCAACGAAATCGACCACGCTCTGTTTTGTAATTCCATTCGCCAGTCTCCCCTTCAACATCTCTCTCTCTCTCTCTTTTCTTAAACTGATATCTATGTGAAATGAGCTGAAGTTCACGGTCCACTTAGGAAAGGATAATACATTCATTGTCCTGGCAGCAAACTTTTTTTTCACTCCCTGGAAGAATTCACGCTTGCAGCAAGAATAATAATTACGGAAAACTAGAAATGCAGTGCTAACGAATTAATCCTTAACGGACACCACCCTAACGAGGGCAGTGATGATTTGAGGACTCTCCTCCTCCCAGGACTTGCATCTCCTGTGACAATGAGCTATTGTGCATCCTCCCAACTCGCTCTACCTCTTATAGATCCAAGATGTCAAAGGTTGTCTGGCCTGGTTGACCATGACATGTGAGTTAACTCATTCTGCAGCGGCGCGGTAGAACTTGATTAAAACTTTATTTGTACTCAGAGTAACCCAAAGACAGCATGTGTGCGTCTCTTTCCACACAGAGCTAGAGTTCCTAAGAGACCGAAGACCTTCTCTGACATAAACAAAGTTAGATGAGAACTCGGGGTGCCCTGCTGGAAGACAGGGAAGGGGGGACCTAGAGTTCTCCCACAGGTGATTTCAGGCATTCCAATAAATGGAGCAGGACCACAATTCACGGAGGGCTTGCTTCTACCTAGTGCCCACCACACGTCCACAGAAAAATACCGCAGTCAAGGAAAGCATGCACCCCACAATCTCTGAAAACAAAAGTAAAGGGGATGTGACACTTGAGAGAGGGAGCAAGACAAATCTTTCATCTTTTTATCCGAGACTGGCTTGGCTGATATACCAACCTCCACCATAAAACTTCTGATACTCTTAAAAAAGAAAAAAAAAAAAAAAACGAAAAGAAAAGAAAAAGAAAACTCCAGATAGTGTCCCATGGAAAACCAGGGCGGGCATTCCTGGGAGTTCCAGCCGCAGAGTGGCAGAGAGAATGGCAAGAGGAGGCAGTGTGAGGCCGCCTCGCTGAAGAGTGTGAAAAAAATCAAATGTGAATTTGATGAATGTGAGGTCTGGGACATTTTGTCAAAGAGGGAGGGAAAGTAGAAAAGAAAAAAAAAAAAGCAGCCCGGCTGCCAACTCACCATCCACCAAGTTCTGGCCGAGATGTCGTAGCAGAGCTGCCATTTGATGGAGCCGTCGGAAGCTTTCCCTGCCATTACGCTGTCAGCAAGCTTCATCTGATGCTAACTCACGGGAGATAAGACACCTAATTGAGAAAACATTTGCAGTGGCATGTGGGGCAACATGTAGTCCGGTCCATACCATATGGAATCATGGGTAAAAAAAAAAATCTCCTTGACAATGAACCAATCTCTCACAGACCCAGTGGCAAGGTGAAGTGGAGATGAAAAGTCTTCTGCTCCTAGCACTGTCTTCTCCTCTCTCCTTTTTAAAAAACTAGAGCCCACTGCTACACATCAAAGGGAGGTGGTTAAAATTAGGGCTTCATCACTCAGATGATTTTGGTCTGCAAGGTTTTTCCTTTCCTTCCAACAACCACCCCCCCCCCCTTTTTTTTAAGGAGAATAAAGAGATTTAATAGGACAAAGGCAGGTAGTGGACTGCGGAGGGAGATCGCCACAGGCTATTAGCCTAAAATTTCTGCTTGACAGATGGAACTGCTTAGAGACTATCATGCAATGTTTTGGGCTTTTTCCCCCCTCACCGCCCCCCTCCCATTCGACTTTAAGTCTGATTCAGTATCTGTTTTTCACAGCCACTTTTTTCAAGAACGTGAGCTGTGCATTAAAAAAAAAATGTTTAGTTCAGTTTTGCTGTCTTACACATCTCCGCTGGAAGCAAAGCAAAAAGTCTAAAACTAAATCTGGGAACAGCTGAGCAGGTTTTCCAAGGAGTAAAAAAAAATTTGTAGGGGAAAAATATTTCTCCTTCTTTACGTTGTGTTTGAAAAAGCAATTTACTAGTTAATTTGGTGGTGAAGGAGCGTAAACATGAGATGACAACGTTCAAGTCCCTTGATTTTTGGTATTGGTATTTTTTGGCATTGTGTTTAGATGGGTATTTTCATGTGTGTAAATAAATACATTCCTGGTATTTCACAAGTTCTAATCTAGGCTAGGCTAGACAACAGCTCTATATTTTTGACATGTTTTAAAAAATTAATCCTGTACTTTTCCATTCTTTGTAAATAAAGTAATTGGTCATTATCAATTCAGTTTAACACAATTCAGGCTGAACTTGACATGAATACTTCCTTAATCAGGGAAAATCATTTCTGATTTCCTTACTGTAACTTAGCTGTCTTCTTTACAGGGATTTTTTTTTTAAACAACACATCCTTTTTTAGCATGAAAAAAATAAACTCACAAAAAGGAACTACCAATAAGAATGACCATAAAAACATGTCTGTTTTTTTAAAGTGAGGAACATCCAGACAACTGCTGGATTTCAGGTCATTTTATTGAGGATTAAGGAAGGCGAGAGAATGACTTGTCTTTTGTTGTATTTTGTTCTTTCAACCTGTGTGACATTAGGAACTGCAGAAACTGGGTGTGGGATATGTGGAAATTCTCTGTGCTGCCTTCATCACTTTTTTTTTTGTCTAAAACTACTGTAAATTAAAAAAATATTTTTTAAGAACAAGAGGGTACTGAATGCATTCTAATATTTTCTGACTATAAGCACTTCTTTGATCTCCAAGAAGCTAGCAGTGAAATTCCAGTTCTCCATGATATGGATCTTCAACATAGACACTCCAGATCATGGGGGTTGAGGGTAGGTTTCTACCATTATTCCTGAGGGCAGTTGAACTGTGATTACTTAAAAAGTTGTGCATTTAGAACCCAACTATATTTTAGACAGTATTATTTAGATTTATTCAGAATATATTTTAAGTTCTAAGGAGGTTAAGTTCGGTGGTATTTGCTTTTCTGATTCTGACTTATTTATTTTAGCCATGTAACATCATAGTTGTATAGTAAATAGCTGTTTTAATTAAAATAATTTCATTAAAGCAAACCTCATTCAGTCGCAGCAGAGGTATTTTCCAATTTAAAGTATCAGAATGCTTCTGGGAATGAACCACAGATATAATTTTTCTTTTCCTATCGCTCATTTTAATGGGATTTCTTCTACTCATATGGGGGCAGTAGGTGATCTGGAAATTAGTATCAAGTGTAAATATTGCTAGCATTCTTAGGAAATACCTTGTTACCTTGGTGTTGATCACCTGTGTTTTCGGAGGATTCTGCAGGGGAACAGGACACGTTAAAGTCACTGCCTGTGTTCCTGGAGGGGCAAAGGGGCCTGTTCTTGCCAGCCAAAGCATTTATTGCCCACTGTAACTGCATCGCCTTTAAAATGACCTGATCTTTCTTCAGTTTACCATTTAGAGAAAAAAGGAAAAAGTTGGAAATTCTATATAAAATATAAACTATTATTAATCCCCCCCTCCCCAGAAAAGGAAAAAGGGAAAGAAGAAAATAAATGAAATCACATTCTGTCATTGAATCAACCTCTTTTCCCACCCATTCCTACTTGCCTCTGACAAATGGACCAAACCAGTTTCCTTGCTCAAGGCCTCCTCAGCTTTCTCCCAGAGCTTAATGGCATTGGACGTCTTGGACTCGTGTGCAGTTTGGCCCTTTCTTAGTTGGTCTCACAATCTGCCTCTGAACTTGGAGGTGCCTCTTGTCTGAGCCGCTGCATTTCTGAGACTCAGAGCACCCTGTGCGTGGCCATTATTTATGAATGAATGAGGCACTAGGTAAACTGGAGTCCAGATTTCACTTTACGAATTAAAGAATCCCTGGGAAGATCTTTACAGGAGATAACACTGTAGTTTTGAAACAACAACAACAACAACAAAAGACATGATAAATATTACTGGTTAATAATGTTTTAAACCCAGAACAATTGGGTGCATTTAACTTTATCATTGTTCTGTAAGAGGCTGGGGGGAGCTGCCCTTCCCTATATAGCAATCAGCCTTTTCACAGTGTGGCCCATTGTTAATAGCCTTAAAACAAGATTAAATAAAACATGTTAAATATTGCAATTATTGTGGGAAATAAAATTATTTGGTGAGCATAATGGGGAGCAATTCAAGCATTTAACATGATCCAGGAAATGCTACTCCAAACAATTGCATTTGCTTTATGCATTTTTCCCCTTTGATTGCTGACAGATGCCTTTTTGGAAACAAACATCTAAATGGTTTGCCTTCAGTCAGGAAAAAAAAATATAACAGAAAGCAGCTACATGTTTTGAATTTAACTTTTGTCATCTGAATACTTCTTCCCACTGCACGTGAATGAATCTGAGACACGAACAGCACCCTCATCAAGGAATAGGCCTATCAGGACTACGCTTTCTTGCTTCCTCTGAGCACATTTTGTCAGAAGTGAGATCCCCCTAGCACAGAAATCAAGTGATGGGAAACATGGCCTGGGTGACGATGGGGAAGCACTAGAAAGGGAACTGTCATTCTTATGATATGATCCCTCAGGCCAGGTGCATGTCCCTTCCCAGCCTCATCCTGGCTGATGTGACTGATGCTCCCCAAGTAAGCTGCATCCTTTGGGGAAACGGGAAGAACTCAGTAGAGCTTGCGTTTGGAGGGGCCCATTTGTATGTTTTGCTGAGGTGCATCTGGGTAAAGGCTTCTAAGATTCTGCTTCCAACAGGTGTATGATACCAAGGAGAGGTTTCTGGTTGTGTTATGTGTTGCTAAAAGGCAACGTGAAATGCAGTAATACTATTTTTTCAGAGGCTGGAGAGAGGAGCAGTTGGGAGCATTGTTTATGAAGTTAAGGTCCCAATCTGGCTCTGTTTCAGTGTAACTTCCCTCAGGTTACTTAACCTTTCTTATTTTCTGTGTCCTATCTTATTCAGTAAAATGAAGATAATCGAAGTTTTATATACATAATTAGAAGTAAAAATGTGCAAACAACATATAGTCCCTGATATGTTATGAGTGCTCACCCAAAGTTACTGTATTTTTGTCTGTATTAATTATTCCTTTACTGAGGAAAGCCTCTTTCTTTTTCCTCCTGTCCTGTCCTCTGAGACTGGGCCAGGCTCCACTTCCCTTTGTTCTTCCATAAGCTGTGCCTTGATCTATTGAAGCTCTCAGTACTCTCTCCTGGAGTCATCCACCTGCCTGTTTGCCTTCCTCCTGGAAAGGATGCCAGGAGCCTCAACCAGGTCTCCCACATAGGTGCAGGTGCCCAAGGACTTGGGCCATTTTCTGCTGCTTTCCCAGGCACATTAGTGGGGAGCTAGCTTGGAAGTGGAGTGGCTGGGACTCAACCAGCACTCTTTGGGATGTCAGCATTGCAGTTGGAGGCTTAACTCATTATGCCACAGCGCTGGCCCCTGGACCTTGGGAATCTTGAGGGTAGGGACCATATTGTGCTTTTCTGAGTAGTTTATTTTATTTTATTTTATTTAATGAACATAAATTTCCAAAGCACAGCTTATGGATTACAATAGCTTCCCCCCCCATAACTTCCCTTCCACCCATAACACTCCCCTCTCCCACTCCCTCTCCCCTTCCAATCACATCAAGATTAATTTTCAATTATCTTTATATACAGAAGATCAATTTAGTATATATTAAATAAAGATTTCAACAGTTTGCACCCACACAGAAACACAAAGTGTAAAATACTATTTGAGTACTAGTTATAGCATTAATTAAACACCTAAGAGTAATTGTGTATTAATTACAGAGTTCAACCAATAGTTTTAAGTAGAACATAAAAAATACTAAAAGGGTAAAGTATTAAGTTCTTTTTTGTTTGTTGTATAGTTTTTTTTTTATTTAATAAATGTGAATTTACAAAGTGCAACTTTTGTATTGTTGTGGCTCCCCCCCCACCCTCCCTCCGTCCTGTGGCCCTCCCCTCTCCCACTCCCTCTCCCATCCCGCCCTTCATCAAGTTTCATTTTCAATTACCTTCATATACTAAAGATCAACTTAGTATATACTAAGCAAGGGTTTCAACAGGCTGTACTCACACAACCGCACAAGGTATAGGGTATTGTTCGACTAGTAGTGTTGTTTTTAAGTTTCATAGTAAAACACATTAAGGACAGAGATCCTACATGGGGAGCATGTACCCAGTGACTCCCATTGTTGATTTAACAATTCGCACTCTTATTTATGACGTCAGCAATCACCCGAGACTCTTGCTATGAGCTGACTAGGCTATGGAAGCCCCTTGAGTTCACCGACTCTGAACTTGTTTAGTAAAGGCCATATCACAGTGGAGGTTCCTTCCTCCCTTCAGAGAACGGTGCCTCTCTCCTTGATGGCCTGTTCCTTCTACTGGGGTCTTGTTCACCAGGATCTTTCATTTAGATTGTTTTTTGCCACCGTGTCATGGCTTTCCATGCCTGTGAGATTCTCATGGACCTTTTATCCAGATCCGAATGTCCCAAGGGTTGATTCTGAGGCAGGAGTGCTGCCATTCTATGAGTCTGCTGTGTGTCCTGTTTCCCCCGCAGGATCATTCTCTCCCTTTTAATTCTATCCTTCATTATTTGCTTACACTGGTCTTATTTGTGAAATCTCATCGACACATACTGAATAGTTTTTTTTTTCTCTTTTTTTTTTTTTGACAGGCAGAGTGGACAGTGAGAGAGAGAGACAGAGAGAAAGGTCTTCCTTTGCCGTTGGTTCACCCTCCAATGGCCGCCGCGGCTGGCGCGCTGCGGCCGGCGCACCGCGCTGATCCGATGGCAGGAGCCAGGAGCCAGGAGCCAGGTGCTTTTCCTGGTCTCCCATGGGGTGCAGGGCCCAAGCACCTGGGCCATCCTCCACTGCACTCCCTGGCCACAGCAGAGAGCTGGCCTGGAAGAGGGGCAACCGGGACAGAATCCGGCACCCCAACCGGGACTAGAACCCGGTGTGCTGGTGCCGCTAGGTGGAGGATTAGCCTAGTGAGCCGTGGCGCCGGCCTGAATGGTTTTAAGGTCAAGTGTAGTCCTAGGAAAAGTCTAGGGCTCCCTAAACAGAGAAAGACTAGCACACTGAAAATTTGATTGCATTCTCTTTATATTTATATACAGTCTTGTCTTTTACCTTGACTCAGACTCCTGCCCCTTCTAGTATGTGCCACCAGCCTTGCCATGTTAATGCCCTGACTGTACCCCAGTCAACAGAGACCCCTGGCTCCTTTGTTGTCCAATGACCTTTCTTATCTGTGTCACCTGTTGGTACTTCATACAGATGGATTGTATTATTACTCACCTTTGATGAATATTTCATTCATTCATTCACCTATTTAATAGCAATTTTTGCAGTATAGGCAATTACATTTTTTTCCTCTTTCTTTTCAACTTTTGTTTCCATGCCCGTTGGAAATGGGAAACTCTAGAAGAAGAACAACATGATCATGAATGCAGCATGTACTAAGAAGCCACACTCCAAGTAGGTTTTTTTTTTCCCCAGGTAGGTTCTTACGAGATATGATCTATTATTAACTTAATTTTCAAAATAGAAAGAAATTCATGTTCAAGAGGTGGAGAGACTTGATGAGGGCTGCAGAATTAAGCGACAAAGGAAAGGTTAAAGTCTAGAAACCGTGACTCCAGAGCTTCACAGCTCTGGTGTTGTTTCCTAAACCACAAAAGGAAGAAAAACACTTGTTGTGTGCCTGGCAATTCTTGAGGTGCGTTTGGGCACAGTATGTCATTTAATCTACACATCAAAATTAGGAGGTTGATATTCTTATTTTCAATTTGCAGGTCAGAGTCGAAAACGTAAGAGCCTTGCCTAAAGACACATGGTAAGCAAGGGGAGCAAAATTCAACTCTATGTCTGCTGGATAACAATGCTCTGGGCTTTTCTGCTCCAACCAGCTAGCTTCCAGAAAATATTTTTTATTTCTTTTGTAGAATTGAATGTTGGGCTTAACAAATACGCATGGCCTTGAATCATCAGACTCTTAGATAATAAAATTAGAAATGTATCCTGTTGCTGAGGCTGTAGAGTGCAGTGTAGGATAATGGGTATCTAAGATTGAAAAAAAAGCAAAGCTTGTGTTGAAGAGGGATTATGTACTATTAACATCTAGGTCTTCCTCTCACCTTAATCGGGTGGAAAATCCTAAAATGGGGTTCAAGACATCACTGTCTAACTCCTCAAATGAGTGTGTTCTCACATGGTAGCTTTCTGATAAGAGGAAGAATCAACATGAGGGATAGAAAATCTAGCTCCTTCAAAGCCCAGATAAATGCCAGGATCTTTGGTGGGAGGTTTATCCTTATAGATGCAAGCATCAAAGTCTTCTGCGCAGGTATACCTCGTTACTGGGTGTGAGTGGTGACTTAAATAAACCGGTGTCCCACATCACCTGGCATGGTTTTCTCACTGTATGGCAGAAGGGAATGCTGCAAAGCTGAAAAGGACAGAATGCAAGAAAATACCAGGGGGTCCAGACAGCCCCATCCATTTTAATGATATTCCCAGATATTGCCCAGATTTTTGATCCTGTGTGTGTGTATGTGTGTATGTTTTTTTCTCAAGAAAATATTGATTTTTTTTTCAGCAGAAACTTGCTGGCCATGTCCTGCAAAGAATTAGATTTTTCTTGGTGGCAGTTCTTTTGACTCATTTCCATTTAGAAATTCTTTGGCTTTCCTTTCCTCTGCATTTTCTGTTAGCCAGCTGCCACCCAAGATTGGACTAAACCCTCTGCCCCCTGTTAAAAAAGCGAGAGAGAAAAAGAAAAAACACATACAACACAACCCTCTAATAAGTATATTCACAAGTTCTATGCGAGGCGCTTAAGAAAAGTAAAAGGTTAATATATTCTAACTACATGTTGGGTATAGAATGTCAGATCTGTCAAATTTCATTATAACTTGCTGCTCATTGGAAAAGATTTGATTTCTTCTGCCACTGTCCTACTATGTTCAAGTCACAGACTGCCAGCAGCAGCCCACTGAAGACCACAGGCTGGCAATGAGCGGGCTCGAGTGGGAAACCAGCCGCAAGGACCATCTGTTTCCGATTTCTAGCTGAGCCAAGATGTGCAGTGAAGTGCATTCCATTCACCAGGCCAGCTTCTCCCCTGCTCAAGTTATTAGTGTTACAAGTGAAATTATCTCTTCCAAACAGCGGGGGAGCTATAATCCTTATGGAATCGGACTTTCAAACACACACGCAAACTCACAACACACACACACACACACACACACACACAACATTTAGACAGCTTTTGTTAAAGTTGTGGGAAGATTGCTTGTAAATTTAATTACAGCCTCCACAGACTTTATAAAGTATGTTTTATTAAGCATGATAACCTCTGAGGCATCAGCGTATACATTGGCCTCATTTAGTCTAATTGAATGATCAAATATCTTTAGGATGCTTTTTGTGGGCATGGTTAAAAATGATAAGAAGGAAGTATTTAAGCCATCTTAAAATGAACTGGCTTTCAAGAGCATAATGGGATTTTAGGAATAATCAAAGGGAGTCTTGCTCTGCTGGGTCTCTTGCAAGTAGACAGTGCTGATGCTGGTTAGCTGGTTATTGATCCCATAGGCCGAATGACCAGGTTCCCCACTTAAGTTGGGAGATCATAATAGGCTGTCTTTGTTATTTGGAATTGACCTGCCTGTCTCAAGACTGATAATTTTTAGAAAAATTTGGAGGTGAAATTGCAAGGCTGATTGTGTGACCATGTGCTAGAAAGAGGGGGAAGTCAGGAGGCCTTAATTAATCCTATAAACATGCACTTAGTAGCAGGTGCTTGCTATTGTGCTGGGTGCTCAAGATGCAAAGAACACACAGGGCCTGCCCTGAAGGAGCTCCAACTCTCATTGAGGAAATAGACATGGCATCCAGCCCTCATGTTGTACCCCAGAACCATGTGGGGTTCTTTTTTTTTTGACAGGCAGAGTGGACGGTGAGAGAGAGAGACAGAGAGAAAGGTCTTCCTTTTGCCGCTGGTTCACCCTCCAGTGGCCGCCGCGGCCAGCGTGCTGCGGCCGGCGCACCGCGCTGATCCGAAGGCAGGAGCCAGGTGCTTCTCCTGGTCTCCCATGCGGGTGCAGGGCCCAAGCACTTGGGCCATCCTCCACTGCACTCCCGGGCCACAGCAGAGAGTTGGCCTGGAAGAGGGGCAACCGGGACAGAATCCGGCGCCCCGACCGGGACTAGAACCTGGTATGCTGGCACTGCAAGGCGAAAGATTAGCCTATTGAGCCATGGCGCCGGCCACCATGTGGGGTTCTAAGCTTTGTTCTTCCACATACTTGCTCCCTGACTCAGGGTTGTCATATCTCCTCTGTGAGCTTCATCTGTAAAATGGGCATGGTGATGGCTGACTTTAGGGACTGTTGCCAGAATTAAGTGAACCATGATCTATGGAAAGGACAAAAGATCCCTCACAGGCACTTAGCAGGTGCTCAATATGTGTTAGTTTCTATTCCCCAAATACTTGAGAACTTTGTGAGCTGTAGCAGGTACCTCTGTGGATGAGTGGCACACTGAATCCAGGGAAGCTGCTTCGTTATTCCTGGCTCACGTCCACCAACCTGGACCACAGGTTTTCCAAGGGCCAAGGCCTGTAGGGGGCACTGTGCAGAGTCAGGAATAATTAAGAGACTAATTCTTCCTTTGGTTCATGGCAAATGAATGATTCTTTCCAAAAATGAATGCTTTTCATAGCAGATATCACATAAATTCATTTAAAACCAGGATACAGGAGTAATACAATCAAGGCCCTTATTTTGCAGGTTATGAAAATGAGGCCCAGCAGACAGAACCTGGAGTCACTGAGCAAGTTAGTGGCAGAGACAGGGCTTCGACTTTAATTTTCAGTGTCTCTGCCACTGGACCAATTATCTCACAGTGTTTGCAGAGCTGTGTCCTGGGTTCTATGACTGAATTGCATTCCAATGCACGTGAGCCCCTCCCTCTATTGCTTCTGCTGATTGTATTATACACATGACAGATAGATCACCATTCTTGACTCAGATTTATAGGCAGAAATAGAGGTCAGCTAGTACAGTCCCCTTATGAGACAGATGGGAAAGCGAAGGACCAATGTCCCAGTTCAGTGTCCTGAGAGCAAACTTTGAGCCTGGTGGAGACTGGTGTGCAAGCATTTTATTGGGAAGGTCGATGAGCTCAACAACTGCAGGGAAGTAAAGGAAAAAAACTGGGTAGAGGGAGGAATTAAAAAGCAATTCAGTCCTAACAAAGGCTTAGCTAATGCTATAGGGGCCCTGGACCCTGGGGTGGCCTTGTAGAACTTCCTAAACTGGGGAGAATGATTGTGCCTTTGTACTCCTGTGATGACTGACCAGCTACGGAATATGAGCTTTCTTGGAGGAAAAATAGAAACTCTGGGCCAGGCATCTAAGACAAAACCCACAGGGGTTTTCTGCTGAGAACTGTCAGCCACCAATGTTCCTGAGAGCCAGAGGGTCATCTGGATGACCAGCCACAGAATCTATCTGTATCCAGAGAAGTCCATGGCTTCCTTACAAGCACCCACCAGGTGAGTGGAAGATTTGGAACCTGTAATTTATGGTTCATAGCTCTACTTACTTCTCAAGTGGCAGGGGAAGCCTTCATAACCTGTTTGAAGAGAATCTACCCAATAGATTCAGGAGTACCTCTTCTTTAGAAACAGCAGGGATTGGGCAAGGTAGACAGGGCAATGGGGACACTGATGTGCGCTTCCTGGCTTCTTTTTACACTGTCAAGCTATACTCCCCTTTCTTGGCATACACAATAGTTTCGAGAAAGAGTGCAGTAGAGGTTTGCAGTCTGACTCAGCACACATGCAGGCAGATCTCTAGGACTCCCGAGAGTCTCTTGGAAGAAGCATGTGTTGGCATCCCCCTGGGGCCTTGTACCTGTGGAAGGGAGGATTTGGGTGAGGAGAAGCAGAAGGCAGCAGTGGAGTGAAAAATTGGTATTTCTTATTCCAGATGTTTCCATCTCAAAGCAGCTCCCCCATGGAGGACCTGATCAAGAAAAAAAAAAAGAACTCCCCAAATCTGAAGCATAGATGGCGTGTGATGATTAAACTCTTTGCTTCAAAGACACACTTTGGAGAACAAACCAACCTCCTGTCATTCCCTACAAAGAGCAAATCTGTTTGGTATGGAGCTCAGAGAAGGCTTTTCACGTTTCCACCCCCTCCTGCCCAGAGCTTTACTGTTTTTCCTTTATGTCCTTAGTTGTGTTCTTTTATTTGCTATAACATTGCTAAAAGCAACCACCTTAATTTTTGAACAATTGCTGTTTCTGTATTTCACTGGCAATGAACAGAAAGCAAATGATGTGAGGGTCCAGGGAATTCTAGTGGGTACCCTTTCCCTGGCCTTGATGGGATAAGTCCAAGGCACCTTTTGCCTTTTTTGTCACTGTTTTGACACAAAGAACAACAGCTTTTACAAGGGATCATGGCCTGTCTTTCAAGAGAATTAGGATGTCCACATCCACTTTTAGCAATTTTTCTTCTAGTTCTCCCCTAATGGCAGGTGCAGGCTCCCCTACTCTCTCTGCTTCCATTCAGAGTTTGTATTTACAATGAAGGGCTTTCATTTGTCTCTTTTCCTGTTTTTTAAATATTCATTTGTATTTAAAGATTTGCTTATATGAAAGGCAGAGCAACAATAAGAAAGGAAGCAGCAGACGGAGAGGAAGAGACACAGAGAGAAAAATTTTTCATCTTCTGGCTCACTCCCCTAAATGCCAGAATAGCCAGGGTTGGGACAGACTGAAGCTAAGAGCCAGGAGGCAGGAGCCAGGGACTCCATCTGAGTCCACCATGTGAGTGGCAAGGGTCTGAGTCCTTGGGCCATCATTCAATGCTTTCCAGGGCATGTCAGCAGAAAGCTGGATAAGAAGCGGAGCATCAGGGACTCAAACCAGCACTCAAATGCAAATGGTGGTTTAACCTGTTGTGCCACAATGCCAGCTCCTTATGGTATGGTGGGAGGAATCATTATGTCCCTAAAGTTGTATTTATGAAATACATGAAGCTTGTATACCTTAAATAAAAGGTTTCTGGGGAAAAATAAAATTTCTAAAATATCTTTAAAAAATTTTCATTTTATTTGAAAGGCTGACAGAGAGAGAAATAGAGGAAGAGATAAAGATCTTTCCTCTGATGGTTCACTCCCCTAATTCCTGCAATAGCCAGGACTGGACCAAGTAGAAGCCAGGAGCCTAAATCTCAATCAAGATCTCCCAAATGGGTGGCAGAGACTAAAGTACTTGAACGTCATCTGTTGCTTCCCAGGATGCATATTAGCAGGAAGCTGGATCAGAAGCAAAGGAGCCAGCACTTGAACCAGGCACTCTGATATGGGATGTGGGCATCCTAAGTGGTGAGTTTACCCATGGCATCAATCTCCTGCTCCCCTCTCTTTGTCCTACTTTTTCCCGTCTTGCCCTTACTTCCCACATTCTTGAGCTCTTCTTATAGTCCATATACTGTTATAATTACTAAGCAGTTACAATTATAATTAATGCAGAAAATTGTCTTTAAGGCACCATCGTTGGAGCACACAGATAGGCACCCGGCCATTCCAATCCACTGTGATAGACCCTCTACTGGGAATGCAAGTGAAAGGAGAGCAGTAAAGGGCATTTAAATTAACTTGGAGTAGGGTAGCAGAGGCTTGTGTGCATTTTCTCCAGGAAGTAACAACAAAACTTGGCTCGGAGAGTGAAGAGTATGGTGGACACAGGGAGATAGATGTTGGGGGTAGGGTGGTAGCAGGAGTGCTATAGGCCAAAAGCATAACACAGAACAGACTTGAGGGAGAGCCGCATGGTTCCACACTCCTGCAAACTGTCTGATGCACTGGCAATTCTCACATTCCCTAGCCACTGTATTCTCTGTCAACAGATCTGCTGTCTGCCACCAATGTTCTAAGTAGCTCATAACTCAAGAATAGTTCCCACCTTTCTAAATGATTGGAAAAAATGAAAAGAATATGCTGTGATATGTAAGACTTATAAGAAATTCACATTTCAGTGTCCATAATACACTTGACAGTTCACTTACGCTTTGTTTATAGCTGCTTTTGCACAATAGTGGCAGAGTGGGGCTGTTATGAGCAGCTGTGTGGTTGAGAAGCTACAATACTCCCTCTCTGGCTCTTTACTGGAAAAGGTTCAGTGCCCCTGGTCTTGAGGATGGGGCTTACCATCTGGGAGCCTAACAATTTTGGATTGAAATCCTGTTTCGACTTCTAGCTGTGTGACCCTCAGTGAATTTAATTTTTTTTAAAAGGCTTATTAATTTACTGGAAAGGCAGAGCTACAGAGAGAGAAGGAGAGACAGAGATCTTCTATCTGCTGGTTCACTCCTCAAATGACCACTAGGGCCAAGGCTGGGCAAGGCTGATGCCAGGAGCCAGAAGCTTCTTCTGGGTCTCTGATGTGGGTTGTAGGAGTCCAAGTATTTGGACCATCTTCTACTGTTTTCCCAGGTGCTTTGGCAGAGAGCTGGATAAGAAGACAGAGCAGCTGGGACTCAAACCGGCATCCAAATGGGATGCTGGCATTGCAAGGTGTGGCTTAACCCATTGCACCACAACACCACACCCCCAACAAGTTTCTTAAACAGCTTATGCCAGTTTTGTTATTTGCACAATGGTGATAATAACACTTCATAGGCTTGTGAAGATTGAAGATGACATTGACATATAAAGCTCCTGGGAATAGTAAGCACTAATGTGAACTTATTATAAAATATTGATTATTTCAATGATTTGTGCTATTAATCTTTGTGATAAGGTAAATATGATAAGTTTATGACTGACTGTGCTCATTGCCAGACTGACTGCTTTGGGGATTATGTTAAAGCCGTATTTTCTGTTAATAGATCAGTAGGGAAGGGGAGAGATTTGTTCTTGGAAGACAGTGGGAAGCTGTTGCTAGAATGCCTCTCAATAATAACCACAGCTAAAGTCTATTGAATGCCTGCTGTGACACGATATTAAGTACTATTTATATGCATTGCCTAATCTAGTCATCACCTCAAACCTGGGAGCCACAATTGTCACTTCATTTTACACATGAGGAGATTGAAGCTCAGAGAAGGTAAGCAAGTTAACCTAAGTCACACAGCCAGTAGGAGGTAGAGTTATGACTTGAATCTGGGATACTCTGATGTCAAAGCATCTGTCTTAACCACTTGTGCTTGAGCAAACACATGACAAGAATCAGAGACACAAGTTTCAGTGCTCACAGCTCTTTCTGGTGGTTGGCCAATTGGAACAATCAGTGTCAGTTAAGTTCTGCAGTGGTGTTGTCATCCAATCAGGAGAATGCTGTTGTAGCCATCTTTATCTGCTCTTTAATTTTTAAAGATTAATTTATTTATATGAAAGGTAGAAAGAGGGGGAAGGCAGAGAGAGGTAAAAAGAGAATGAAAGAGAGAGAGAGAGAGAGAGAGATCTTCCATCTGATGGTTCACTCCCCAAATGGCTGCAACTGCCAGGGCTGAGCCAGACCGAAGCCAGGAGCCTGGAGCTTCAATCAGGTATCCCATGTGAGTGCAGGGGCCCAAGCACTTGGGTCATCCTCCATTGCTTATTCAGGTGCATTAGTAGGGAGCTGGAACAAAAGTGGAGCAGGTGAGTCTTGAACCAGCACCCAAATGGTATGCCAGCATTGTGGGTGGTGGCTTAACCTACTACGCCACAGCACCAGCTGCCTTTATCCACTCTTGATTCCACCTCTCAGAGGCTCTCCAAGGGAACTTGCAAGCACGTTGTCTTTTTGACAGTTGCCCCTTTGATGGAGATCCCACAAGACATATCTGGTTCTTGGGTGAGTGGACATGAGTATGGCTGTACTGGGAACACATAATGGAAGTGTGTTTGGTCATGTGACTGGGATATACTGTCGTGATTAATAAATAAAACCTGTTTGGTATTCAACTGTTATTTATTGACTCAGGAATATGCTCCTAAATGATTCAACAAAACGCAGACTATTACACATCCACATACCATGGTCTCAATTTGGTAATTATATGTGTCTATACCAGAATATTCAGTAGTTGTCTCTCTAGGCCTTGAGGGAGTGATGGTAAACATTTTTTTCTATTTATAGAATTGGAAAACAATGTTTAAGGGGGACAGCTGGGAAAGAGTGGTTGCCAGAGGAGCTGAGCCGGACATGGTTGCAGGTCTGGGCTGACCCAGGAGGAGCATGGAGAACGGTTTGGTAGGCCGACTTTCCCTGTGGGCTAAGAAGAGGGCCCTGGATGTGCACTCATAACATTTCCCCAAGGCAGCAGGGCAAGGCCTCAGCACCTCCCAGGAGAGGCAAAGGACAGCCCAGTGATTGGCTCTGGGTGGCTGCTGGGAACCAGGGCTGTGCCACACAGAAGGACCCGAGGGATCCTGCCCTTGTAGAAGCTAGAAAATATAGTACAATGATCAGAAAGTCCTTTCATTTGACAGTTTCTGGTTAGGTGGTTGTAGAATATAATGATCTGCTCTGGTTGGTTACCTAAAAAAGAAATTCTTACATGCTACCCTCTGATACCAGAGAAAATCTAGCAGACCTATTTTAGGTCCTGCATAAATTGCCTGTCTGTCTTTTAGAGTTTGAATTCTTCCTCATTTTGTTCCTTCTTACTGTCTCAAATTTGGGTATAGGTTTTCCCAAGAGATAAAAGGATGCCAGTTCTGAAGAGACTTCTTTCTCCAGTAGGGAAACCCAGATTTCACCTGTGACTTGTCATTTGTTCAGTGGGTTCCCTAGTGCTTCCTTCAGGGCAAGGGCTAGATTCACGGACCATCTGCCGTCCATTGCCTTTACCTACACCAATGCTGTGTTTCATGGTTAACTGGGACTTTCCCAGGCTCATCACAAGATGCTTAACGCAAATGGGAAGGACACTAAGCTGGGAACCAGGAGCTACAGACTGAAGACAGGGCCATGGCGCCACACTGAGTGTTCCTGGATAAGTCCATTTTCCTCCCAGAACCTAAGTTTCTTTATAGATAAAGGAGGAGCATGGATTAGATCTGGGGTTCCTTGGGACTGGACTGCTTAGTGTGTGTGCTGCCTGAAATGTGGCTCCCTCCTTTGCAACCCAACTTCATATTAAACAGCAATAGCAAACAGTTTCACTTATTCCTTTCTTTCTTTCTTTCTTTCTTTCTTTCTTTCTTTCTTTCTTTCTTTCTTTCTTTCTTTCTTTCTTTCTTTCTTTTTTGACAGGCAGAGTGGATAGTGAGAGAGAGAGACAGAGAGAAAGGTCTTCCTTTTTGCCGTTGGTTCACCCTCCAATGGCCGCTATGGCCGGCGCACCGCGCTGATCCGAAGGCAGGAGCCAGGTGCTTCTCCTGGTCTCCCATGGGGTGCAGGGCCCAAGCACTTGGGCCATCCTCTGCTGCCTTCCTGGGCCACAGCAGAGAGCTGGCCTGGAAGAGGGGCAACTGGGAAAGAATCCGGCGCCCTGACCGGGACTAGAACTCGGTGTGCCAGCGCCGCTAGGTGGAGGATTAGCCTATTGAGCTGCGGTGCCGGCCTTATTTCTTTTTTTATGTGAGAGGCGGAATTGCAGACAGAGAGAGGTAGAGACTGAGAGAAAGGTCTTCTCCTGCTGTTTCATTCCCCAAATGGCCACATCAGCTGATGCTGAGCTGATCCAAAGCCTAGCGTCAGAAGCCTCATCTGGGTCTCCCACTCAGGTGCAGGGATCCAAGGACTTGGCCATCTTGTACTGCTTTCCCAGGCCATAGCAGAGAGCTGGATTGGAAGAGAGGCAGCTGGGAAACAAATGGGAGCCCATATGGAATGGTGGCACTGCAGGCGGAGGTTTAGCCTACTACACCACAGCACCAGCTCCCAATTTCACTCTTACAGTATCTTTATTGAGTTTACTGGAACACTTTCTGTGAAGAATTATTCCTTTGTAGATTAAAGTTTCAAAATCATTGGATTGGATGATCCACACGTGTCTAGATCATAAACTGCTTTTACGGTCTACTTCCAATTCATATCACTACAATTTTTTCATTGATTTTTCTATTGTGGTAAAGAAAATATAATGGGCAGCGCTGCAGCTCACTAGGCTAATCCTCCACCTGTGGCACTGGCACCCTGGGTTCTAGTCCCGGTCGGGGCACTGGATTCTGCCTGGTTGCTCCTCTTCCAGTCCAGCTGGAGACCAGGAGGAAGCACCTGGCTCCTGGCTTAGGATTGGCATGGAGCGCCGGCCGTAGCGGCCACTTGGAGGATGAACCAATGGAAGGAAGATCTTTCTCTCTGTCTCTCTCTCTCTCACTGTCTAACTCTGCCTGTCAAAAACAACAACGACGACAACAACAAAAAAGAAAATATAACATGAAATTCACCTTCTTAACACATTTTTAAGTGGTCCCTAAAGTTTTTTTATCTTGTGCGGCTGAAAGATTATATCTGTCAATCAGCACCTCTGCATTTTCCCTCATCCCTGGCAACCACCATTCTATATTCCACATCTAAGAGTTTGAATACTTTTTTAAAAAAAGATTTATTTATTTATTTGAAAGGCAAAGTTACAGAGAGGCAGAGGCAGAAGCAGAGAGAGAAAGAGAGAGAGAGAGAGAGTGAGAGAGAGAGAGAGAGAGATCTTCCATCTGCTGGTTCACTGCCCAAATGGCTGAAACTGCTGGAGCTAAGCCAACCTGAAGCCAGGAGCCTGGAGCTTCCTCCAGGTCTCCCACACAGGTGCAGGGGCCAAAGCACTTGGACTGTCTTTTACTGCTTTCCCAGGCCTTAGCAGAGAGCTGGATCAGAACTGGAGCAGCTGGGACTCGAACCAGCACCCATATGGGAGTGTTGGCACTGCAGGTAGCGGTTTTACCTGCTGCGCCACAGCACCGGCCCCTTGAATGTTTTTTTGAAACACTTTTTAATGAAAAGTTTTTAGCAAACAAAAATTGTAGGTATTTATGGGGTACTATGTGACATTTTGATACATGTATACATTGTATAATACTTTAGATACCTCATAGAAACAGAATAATACTGTTTTTGTTCTGTGACTAGCTTACATCACTTAATGTAATGTCTTCAGGCTCATGTTTTAAAAATAATATTCCATTGTACGTTTATGCCATGTGTTCTTTATCCATTCATTCATCTGTGGATAGTTTTTTTCTAATTCTTGTTATTATGAATAATGATGCAATGAACAAAGGAGTAAAATATCTCTTTGAGGTGTTGATTTCAATTCTTTTGGGTAATTCTCAAGAAGTGGGGTTGCTGGATCATACAGTAGTTCTCTTTTCAAGTGTTTGAGGAAACTCCATACTGTTTTCTGTTTCTACCAACAGTGCGCAAGTGTTCCTGTTTCTCCCAATCTCATCAGTACTTCTTTTAAAAAACATTTTATTTATTTATTTGAAAGGCAGAGTTATAGAGTGAGAGGGAGAGGGAAGGAGGGAGGGGGAGAGAGAGAGAGAGAGAGAGAGAGAGAGAGAGATCAATTTTCCATCCAGTAGTTCACTCCCCAAATGGCTGCAATGCTCAGAGTTGGGCTGAAAAACCTAGGAGCTTCTTCCCAGTCTCTCATGTGGGTGCCAGGGCCAAGGACTTGGGCCATCTTCTGCTGGTTTCCCAGGCATGGTAGCAGGGAGCTGGATCTGAAGTGGAGCAGCTGGGACTTGAACAGGTGTGGATATGGAAAGTCAGCACCAGCAGTGGCAGCCTTACCCAATATACTCAGTGCTCCATCAGCACTTATTCAATGCTTTATTTGTTTTCATAATGACCATTTTAATAGCTGTGAGGGGATATCTTTTTTGGTCTTGATTTGTATTTCAGTGATAATTGGACATTTCTCATATCCGTTGGAGAAATATCTATTTAAATCTGTCCTTTTTAAATTGTATTTATTTATTTATTTATTGGTTATTGAGTTGTAAGAGTTTCTTATGTATTTTGAATGTTAATACTTTGTCAGATGTGTAACTTACAAATGTCTTCAACCATTCTGTAGGTTTCTTTTCATTCTGTTGATTGTTCCCTTCTTAGTATAGAATCTTGGTATATTGTAGCTCTACTTCTTTATTGCTGTTTTTGTTCCTTGTACTTTTGGTATTAAATCCAAGAATCATTGCCAGCACCAATATTGCAATGATTTCTTGCTCTGTTTGCTTCTAGCAGTTTTATAGTTCCAGGTCTTAGATTTAAGTATATAAGCTATTTTGAGTTGATTTTTGTATACAGTTTGAGATAAAGGTGTAAATTCATTCTTTGCCTTTGCATATTTAGTGTTTCCAGCATCATTTGTTGAAGAGACTGCTTTTTCTCAACTGTGTTGTCATGACACCTTTGTAGAAGATCATTTTATCATATGTTGGGCACTCAGAGACTTCATGGACAATGCATATTATGAAAACGTTGCATGGAATTAAACTATTTTGTACCAAAAACAAGGTTACTTTTAAATTAATTTTTCCTTCATCTTTTTGAAGGATCCTTGTATTTGTGTGGATTAATTTTGAATTCTCTATTATTTTCCATTGGCCCTGTATCTGTCTTTATGCTCATACCATACTGTTGTGATTACTGTAGTCTTGTGATATGTTTTGAAGTCAGGAAGCATTAAGCCTTCAGCTCTATTCTTTCTCAAGATTGGTTTGGCTACTAAGGGTCCTTTGTGGTTTAATACGAGTTTTAGGAATATTTTCACGGTTTCTATGAAATAAAAAAAAAAACAACGCCATTGGGAGTTTGATAGGGATGGCATTGAATTTGGAGAATAGTCTGAGTAGAATAGATATCTTAGCAATAGTAAACCTTTGAAGCTGTCTTTTAATTTTTCCTACCTACTTTATTTCTTCAATGTTTTGTAGTTTCCAGTGTATAGTCTTTCACCTCCTTAGCTGGGTTCATTTCTAAATATTTTATTTTTTCTGTAAATGAGATTATTTTTCTCAATTTTCTATTCAAGTTGTTTTTTAGTGAATAAAATGCAAATGATTTTTATATGCTTGTTCTATAGTGTCACTTAACTCTGCTATTTCCTTGTTGATTTTCTGGCAGGTTGATCTCTCCATTGCTGAAAGTGGGGTATTGAAGTCCCCCATTACTATTGAATTTGAGTTTATGTCTCCCTTTAAATCCATTAACATTTCTTTTAGATATCCAGGTGCCCTGCAGTTAGGTGCATATACATTTATAGTAGTGACTTCTTCCTGTTGAATTGATCCTGTAATGGATTACATAATGTCCTTCTTTGTCTCTTTTAACAGTTTTTGTTTCAAGTCTATTTTGTCTCGTAGTAGGATGGCTACACCAGCTCTTTTTTGGTTCTGTTAACATAGTTTTTCTTTTTCCATCCTTTCACTTTATGTCTACATGCATGTTTGTTGTCAAGATGTGTTTCTTGTAGGCAGAAAATAAGTGGGTTTTCTTTTTTAAACTATTCAGCCAGTCTGTGTCTTTTAACTGGAGAGCTGAGCTCATTCATATTCAAGGTGACTATTGTTAAATACCAACTTTGCCCTGCCGTGTTTCCATAAATAGTCCTATTTTTTTTTTTTTTTTTTACTTTGGGTTAGCTTTGTACTTTTAGTGGGTTATTTTCTGAGTTCATCTTCTTTCACAGTGATGTTCCTGTTTCTGTGTTTCTATGTGTAGCACATCATTGAGCATCTTTTATAGGGCTGGGTGGGCAGTTACAAATTCTTTCAATTTCTGTTTGTTGTGGAAGTTCTTTATTTCTCCTTCATTCTTAAATGAGAACTTTGCAGGGTTTAGTATTATGGGTTGACAATTTTTTTTTTCTCTTAGGGATTGAAATATATTTCACCATTCTCTTCTTGCCTGTAGATTTTCTGATAAGAAGTCTGCAATGCGTTTAATTGGGTTTCCTCTTATAGTGATTTGGTGTTTCTCTAGTGCACATTTTAAGATCTTTTCTTTATGTTTTACTGTGGGGAGTTACTACAGTGTGTTGTGGTGAATAGCTTTTCTGGTCGTGTCTATTAGGAATTTTGTGTACTTTCTATAGTTTATGTCTCTTTCTCCAGATTGGAGAAGTTTTCTGTTATTACTTCATTAAGCAGTCCTTCTAATCCTTTCTCTCTTTCCACACCTTATGGAACTCCTAGGATCCATATGTTGCATTGTATGATAGTATCTTGTAGATCTCCAACTGTGTTTTTTCGTTTTCTAATTTCTTCTTCATTTTTTGGTCTGACTGTAATATTTCCAGAAATTTGTCTTCTAGTTCTGATATTCTTTCTTCTGTCTCAC